TACACCACATATCAACAGATTAATTATCTTATTTTTTTAAAAAATCTTCATAACCATCTCATAAGGAGAATGGACTCATTTAAACTCTTGATGAAGGAACTACAGAAAAGAAAAACCTCAGATTATCTCTAGATCTCTTAGCCAGAAGAATAAAACTGTCAATTACTACAAATTAAGGGGGAAAAAATTGTCCTCTTGGAAGTACTTACAAAAGTTTTTATTTTGGACCACCTGTTCTCTTGGTCTTTGAGGTCCTTCACCTGCAAAATTCAGAATGAAACATGTTTCATATTATTTTTAACCTAGTATATTGTCTCTGGGGAGATTTTAATACACCTGCAATTTACCTTAAATTATATTCAGGCATCTCTTAAGTACATCATTTCTCTTCAGGGGGACAGTATTATAACTCTTTTCAGGTTTTGAGGGCTTGTTGCTGTTGTTATGTGCCATCAATATGACGACAATTCATAGTGACCCTTTAAACAATAGTTCTGAACTTTGCTGTATCCTGAGCCAACCTCACTCCCTCTGACACACCTGCCCCATTGCCACAGTCACTGTGACAATCCATCTCATGCAGGGTCTTCCTCTTCTACACTGTCTCTCCACCTTTCCAAGCATGATATCCTTCTCTAAGGACTGGTCCCTCTGGCAACATGTCCACAGTAGGATTTTAAAAATCCTTGCCTCCAAGGAGCAATCTGGATTCACTCTCTCCTGAACAGACCTATTTGTTCTCTTGGAAGTCCAGGATTTGTTCAAGACTCTTCTCAAGCACCACAACTCAAAGGCATCAATTCCTCTTCTGTCATCCTTAGTCATTGTCCAGCTCTCAGATGCATAGCAAGTAATTCAGAACACTTACTAGGCCACAAAAGATTAATAACAGAATTGGATTTTTGTTGTTGCTCCATTGCTAAGGCTCCTTCCAGCCAAACAGACCTTGATTTTAATAGATCTCTAAGATTGGATCTAATAGATCTTAGGCCCCTTCCATCTTCAATATGCCACAATTCTAACAGACATGGGAATATGAACTAGAGATCTAATATTCCATGATTCCAAAGTACCACAAGAGTTCACTCCTCTTTCCAAGAGGGCAAGAACAAAAGTTTTTAACATGGTATTCCAAGTACTTTACTACTTGACCTTCATGGACCTTCCAATCATAACTCTTAGCATTTCACAGATCTCTGCCACTCCTCTGTCTAATGCAGTTTCCACAGTTTAACTCCTACTCATTTAGTCTTTTACCTGGAATGCCCTCTTCTTCCAACCCTTTTCTTCGTGAGCCTCAGCTTGAAGGTCCTCTCTCTGGTGAAGTCTCCCATGCCCCTCATCCTTGATGCAGCAGTTAGTGGGCCCTTTCACACTAAACACTCTGTCTGTTAACCCACAGTGAACAAATCTTTGTGTGTGTGTGTGTGTGTGTGTGTGTGTGTGTGTGTACCGTCAAATTGAATCTGACTGGTACAGGAGGAGATTGTCCCTCCTTTCCCGGCAGAGCATCTGGTGGATTTGAACCGTGTGCCTCTGGGATTGCAGTGCAGCGTCTTGCCACTAGGCCACCAGAGCTCCCCTGAACAAATCTTTTGATTCACTCAGGTAGTAAACCCAACTGCCTAGGGAGCAGGCAGAAAGTATAAAGGGTGAGGTCAACAGATATTAAAAAAACACTAACCTTGAATTTTTTACCTGTTATTAATGGAATTGTAGCACCTCTCCTGCCCCCCAAAACACATGAAATCCTAATCCCTTTATTTCCAAGTAAATATGACCCTATTTGGAAAGAGAGGTTTTTCTTTTGTTATGTTAAAGAAGTCATACAGTTGTTTTTGTTGTTATGTGTGACTCACAGTAACCTTATGTACAACAGGTCTGAACCCTATTCTGTCCTGAGCCAACCTTATTGTCTCTGACACACCTACTCCCATTACCCCAGTCACTTAGTCAATCCTTCTCATTGAGAGTCTTCCTCTCCTGCGTTGTCCCTCCCAAGCATGATATCCCTCTCCAAGGACTGGTCCTTCCTTGCAACATGCCTAAAACATGTCAGACGGAGCTTCAGAATCCTTGCCTACAAGCAACAGCCTGGTTTCACCCTCTCTAGGTAGGGTAAATCCTAAACCTAATTCTTTCTGAGTGATGTTTTATAAAAAAGAGTAGGATAGATACAGGTATACCTACATGGGGGAACAGATCATATGAGGAAATATTTATAAACTGAGAAATGCCAAGAAACACCAAGGAGGAATACCCAAGGTTACTGAGAAGGAGTGATGGCAATCTAGGCTCCAAAATGGTGAGACAAAATAAATCTACTCTTTAAACTACTCATTTGTGATATTTTTGTTACAACAGCTCTAGGTAACCAAGACATTACTTCAGAGAAGGAAACAGAAATATAGTTGTAAGGGAAATAACAACCTGAGAACAAAAGTTAACATTTTGTTTAAAAGCATAATACCAAGTGGTCAGGATTGAAATCAACTAGAAAACACTCTTATCTACAGGAAGGAACTTTTAACTCTGCTCCTATCAACTGTTGACCTGCAGAAATGTGGTTCAGTGTGGCCAGCTCCTCCACTTTTTAAAAGAAAAGCTGGAAATCTACACTTGTATTTTAAATATCTTAATTTTTACATGTAGTAGACAGGTCTGAAAAATTAAAAATTCATTATGATGACTTTCAGAGGGACTGGTGGCATAGTGGCTAAGCGCTTGAACGTTAAACAAAGTTACGGGTTTGAACTCACCAGTATATCTGTGGTTGGATGACAGGACCCTGTTTGCTCCTATAAAGATTTACAGCCTTTGATACTTTATGGAGCAGTTCTACTCTGCCAAATAAGGCCACTGTGAGTCAGAATAGAGTCGGTGGCAATGGGTTTGGCTTGGCAGGTTGGCTTTCAAGGTTTTTCAGCTGTGAAAACTGAAGTCTTACTTCTATCCATCTATGGGAAGATCACTGGCATCTTGTTTGTTAATTATGCCCACGCATCATGAATAAGAGCTGTATGCAGAACTTTTCAGATAGGAAAGACCTGTTCTCTGGGCATCAGTTTCCCTATCTGCAAAATGAGGATAAAAACCCTATTTGTGCCATCAGTTGCCTAATAGCTTCTCAGGTTGTTTTCTTAGAGCTGCATGCTCCTTGGAGGCAAGGATTTGGAATCTTCGTCTCACATACTTTGGGCACATGGTCAGGATGGACCAGTCCTTGGAGAAGGGCATCATGCCTGGAAGGGTGGTGGGACTGTGCAGGAGAGGAAGACCAAAATGAGATAGATTGACACAGTAACTGGGGTAAAAGGGGGGTGTAGGTGTGTCAGAGACATGAGATTGACTCAGGCTAGAACAGAGGCCAGAGCTATTGTACATAGGGTTGCTTGATGACTTGATGGCACTTAACAACAACCATTCTGAGGTGGTGTCTTCATTACCTGGAGCTGCTACAACATTCCTTACAACAGCAAATGACATTTACTGAGAGGCAATCAGATCATCTCACTGAATTTGCAAAGTATCCTTTCTTAGCTAAGTCCTTTACATTCTATTTTACAGAGAGGGAAACTAGTTCAGAGATAGTAAGCTAAAGACTTAATTTGAAAAACAGTAAATATTTTGAAAGTCTATATCATTCCTAAAGATTGAGCTCTGGTGACCTAATGGTAAGAAGCTGCACTGCAATTCCAAAGGTAAATAGCTCAAACCCACCAATTATTCTGCGGGAAAAGGATGGGTTATCTCCTTCCTACGATTTACTGCCTCTGAAAACTCGCTGGAGGGTGGGCTATGAACTGGTTTGGACTCAAATGCACACAACAGCCCTGCTATCCTTTCCCAAATGCGTATGTAGTTAAGCCTTCCGAGAGACTAGAAACCCGCTGAAGGGTCAGCCGTGAGAACCATCTGGAAGGCAATGAGTAGTGAGTTAACGAACCTTCAAGTTACAAACAACTAAATGAATGAGTTACTAACCCTCAAGTTAAAAATAGAACCCGCTGCACCAACTTGCCCCTGGGTCTCAGAAGTCAGTCATAAAAAATGATGGCAAAGAGTTCTTAAGTGCTTACTCTGTGCCTTGACTCTGTGTTCGGGATCTCCTATTTTTTACATATAGGGGCTATATCACCTATGAGGGGCATGGAGTAAAAGACTTAACGAGAGTGGGGGAGAGGACAGGCCTCGAACCCACACTGCTACCGGAGTGCCAGCCCCGGCCTGCGGTCCCTGTACCCTTTTACCCGGCTAACATCCTCATTAGGGTCATGTCAGGAGGCTGGTGTGGTCACCTGAGAAGGCACACGGTCAAAGAAACTCACGCCATCACTTTGGGGTGACTCCTTCTTTTCTCTCTCTTCCTTGTCCTTTTCTATCTCCTCTTTTTCCTTCTTTTCTTTCTCCTTTTGCTCCTTCTTTTCTTTCTCCTCTTTTTCCTTCTTTTCTTTCTCCGCTTTCTCCTCCTTTTCCTTTTTTTCTTTCTCCTCCTTTTCCTTCTCCTCTTTCCCCTTTTTTTCTTTCTCCTCCTTTTCCTTTTTTCCTTTCTCTTCCGTTTCCTTCTCCTGCTCCTTTTCCTCCTCCTCGTCCTCTTCGTCCTCCTCCTCCTCCTCGGTGTCCACGTCGTCCAAAAGCAGCCGCTCTACTGAGCTCAAGCGGGACCGAACGCTCCAGAAGCTCAAGCTGGTCGTCTCCGCCTCGGCTCTCCGCCCAAATGACTCGTGACCTCTAGGGGGCGCCGCTCCCTGCAGCCGGGACGCGGCTCCCCGGATCTCGCGCGCCGACGGGATCATAGAGAAGCCTTAGAATTCCGCTTCCGGTCGTCTCAGGAGCCTGCCCGGTGCAGGTAAGCTCCTCACAGTCCCGTCCGGGCTGCGTTCGCTTTCCCGCCGCCGCGGCCTCACGGCCCAATTCTCTAGCTGAAACCTTTCTTTCCCGTCCCCCAGTTCCCACTGCCACGTCGACGGTGTCCTGACCCCACAGTTGTGAGACAAAGAGTGACGCCCAGAACCGGTGCCATGGCAGCAACGGAGAGTTCCGCTGCGTCTGGGAGCATCGCACTACCGCCAGAGGAACAGGGAGGAGCTGGGCCCAGCCCGGACCCAGAACGTAATTCTGGAGGTTCCTTTTCGATTCCAGAGGCCTCGCCTCCCGTCCCCGAACTCTCCAGCCCCAATGGCGCGGTCCCCCAAGCGATCCCAGCGCTTCCCGTGGCCGCATCTGCATCCCTGGGCTCTTTGCCGGCGGCCGACGCCGACCCACGCTCCCGGCCCGGCCCCGAGACGTTCCGCCAGCGCTTCCGGCAGTTCCGATACCAGGACGCGGCGGGCCCTCGGGAGGCCTTCCGGCAGCTGCGGGAACTCTCCCGCCAGTGGCTGCGGCCCGACGTCCGCACCAAGGAGCAGATCATAGAGATGCTGGTGCAGGAGCAGCTGCTCGCCATCCTGCCCGAAGCCGCGCGGGCCCGACGGCGGGGACGCCGCACCGACGTGCGCATCACGGGCTGAACGCGGCCGCGTCCCGGGCTGTAAGCCTCGCACCCCACTCATGTTAATGAATACGTAGCTTTGAACAACTCTCGTGGTCTAGTGTGATTCATTCGTCACTTACTGAGTTTTATGTCCCTCGTTCCGTTGTCCATCCCCCGTTCTGGCTGACGGCAAAAGTTGGGAATATGGAGGGTGAGGCCTTCGTGTTTTCCATCCCTGGGCGTTGGCTAGATTTGGGCCTCCCGCACCATTACTAGGAAGGTTTTCCCAGCGGTCCCCTTTTGCATTTCCTTTGATTAGTGGAAGGGGAGCCCTGATGGTGCAGTAGAGTAAGTAGTGGGCTGCTAGTAAAAGGTCGAGGCTGGAGCCCACCTAGAAAGAGGAAAAGGCAATCTGCTCCGGTAAAGATCAAAATTTGAGAAGACTGACTTTGGGTCCTTCTCTTTGTTGGTGGGAAGTTAAGAGTTACCAGAAGGTGACCATACCAGATACATTTAAGAACCTAGTTTTATTCTGCAAACTTATACACCCCTACTCACCATCTGTAGAGACTACTGAATTCCTTTTCTAAAAAACTTAATTCCTTAATACAAAAAATTGCTATATTCTGTTTAGCCAGCCTTTGCAGGTGAAACCTTTTTTGTTTCGATGAGAAAGAATGTCATGGCCTGCAACTTCCTTGCAAAAATATTCAGTACAGATTTATGCAGAAGGCTTAAATAAGGAATATGTTATTTTTGTCTTTACTTGACAACTGTTTTTTTTAATTCTATATCCAATCCAGGTTTTATCTGGATGCAGAAAACATCAATGGTCATATCTGGAATGATCAGATACAAAACAATTTCAGTCATTATCAGGATAAGCAAGAAATGACTTACCAAGAGACACTTCTTGAAGGAACTGAAACACATTGAATTACAGAGCAAATTTCACTGAAACAACAAAGAAAATTCTGTCCTTGATTTTTAACCTCCAATAAAGTGTTTCCCTTCTGCTACAACATACACAGGTCAGGAAATAAAGGGTGGAGTGTGGCAACTGAGCAACCTAAGTACCTTAAAGAGGCACTCTTCTCACTTACCACTGGCAGCTGCTGAAGTAAACAAAGCCAGTGGGGAGGAAGAGCCCTTATCAAAGCACCTGCTGTATCCTTATTGACACCACAGGTAGAGAGATCATAGACCACTTCTACTTTCTTCATGTCATATTTAAAGCCATCATAGTGTTTTCTTCAGTGAATCATTCTTAAAGTTGAGAAGATAGAAACCGGAACCAGCTCATTGATAAAGGTGGAGATAGGAAGAAGCAGAGTAATCTCCAGCAGTTACACTGTTGCCTGACAGTTAAGACAGTTCACTGGCAAGAATAGAATGTCTGAGAAATAATCTACATCCAAATGAATTCCCTTCTGATCTGGCTCAATGCTGAGAACTTCTGTAACCACTTCCGAGTCCACCAAGTTTCTGCTTCCAAATACACAATTAATGCTGCCATGACCAGGCACTGCAACACAAACCTCCAGTGTTCCTGAAAGCTGTTGTAAATGGAGCAAATATAGTTTTTAAGGATGTGTTTTTACTGTGGCAAAATATTCTCAAGCTTTTTAAGTACCTATTTAGAATGTCCTGAAAATCAGGATCCTGATAGACCACTTGAAGTAGAGTTAAAATCTCTCTTGACTTTTGAAATTCCACAACTACTCCAATTCCCTCTCAGCCAAAAAGCCCTGCAACTCCACAAGGATCTTGCTCCTGGACATGGTGCTGGGGACACAAAAGCTTTTGGGTGAAAGGAGGAGAGCCAAAGAAGTATGTCTCAGGGACAAAAGGCTGTGAATTTATCTTTTGAATTTTGCTACCAAGGGTGTTGATTGTGGTCCCCTAGTAAAATGAAATCATTGACAAATTCAGTCTGCTCCATCTATCATGATGTAGCTTACTGGCCCAGTAGTGAGGATTTTTTTTAATACTGAGATGTAATCCATATAGAAAGTTGTAGTCTGATCTTCTGCAGCATTTCAAGCCATCTTTACTTTTAGCAAGCAAGAGTGGGTCATCTGTGTAATTCATGTTTGGTAAATCGTCTTCAATCCTGATGCCACATTCTTCTTAAAGTCTGGCTTCTTAAGTGATTTGCAAATAAAACTGAATAGGAATGAAGAAAGTATATATACACCTGACATACACCTCTTCTGATTTTTAACCATGCAGTGTTCCCTTGTTCTGTTTGGACAACTGCTTCTTGGTTTATGAATAGGTTTCAAAAGAGTACAATTTACTGTTCCCTTCGCAGCCCATGGTTTATTCAGTACTCTTTGCCAACATCACAATTTAAAAGCTTTTTTTTTTCGGTCTTTAACAACATCCCAACTTTCAGATTTCTAAAAGCAACTAAAGCTTGGATCAAACACACTTTAGTCTTTTAGCTGACATCCATGTTTTGGGTTTTTTTCTGTCAGGCCAGAACCAAGGTCAAAGGGAGAACAAAGGATTCAAGGAATATCAACATGCCAACAAAAGTAGTGCCCCCTCCTTCCCTCTTTAAACCACAATGTGATGTCCCTCCCTTCCCTCCCTAAAGACCCTTACTATAAAACCTGCCCTAATCCACCATGGGGTGTGGAATTCCCTGGTTTGGCTCTCTGCCTGTCTCTTTCTCTGCAGACCAAGGAATCTCAGACCCAGGAAACCCCTTAATAAAGCTTCTTTTCCTGGTCCCTTGAGTCCTTGGCCAGTGCAAAGATTTAACATTTTCCATCCTTGCTCTTCTGCTACAACTTTAGTCCTTTCTCCATCATTCATGACATGGACCATTGGTCCACTGGGTTTCCCATTCTTCTCAATGTTAACCATAATTTGTTACAATGCACACAAAAGCCTTTACATAGTAAAACACATGTAAACATCTTTCTGGTATTCTATTCTCAGCTAAAATCGCTCTCACATCAGCAATGATATCCTTCATGCCACGTGGCCTCTTGAATCCAGCTTGGATTTCTGACATTTTTTAAATATAAAAAAAAAAGGCTGAACTTGCTTGTATTTGAAACAACAGTGGCATACCTCTGAGCAACATGTAACCCAGCACATTACAGTAAACTGACAGATGAGTGGTGGGATACTTGAGAAATTTGGTGGTTGGGAAACTCTGTTCTAAAATCCTAAATTGCTCATGTTGAGGCCCAAGCAGAATTAAAGGTTCACAGGCAGCTTGGATTGGTCCCAAAATGGTTGTAGTTGCAGTGGGTGCCATCTTCTAACATCAGGAAGGCCATCAAAATGTCACCAAGAAGCACCACAACACAACAGCTAAAGGCTCATGTGGGCTATCTAAAAGATATCGTAAAGATCCTAAGCTTAGGTCAGCCTCCCTGAAAAAGATCTGTTTAGAATATAAAAACAACCTTTTTAGGGATCTCTGGTGGCCTAGTGGCAAGAAGCTGTACTGTAATCCCAGAGGTGTGCGGTTCAAATCCACCAGATGCTCTGCTGAAGGAGGGACAATCTCCTGTACCAGTCAGATCCAATTTGACGGTACACACAGAAAAAAATAGTAAAATAAAATGAAAAATTTTTTTTAAAAACACACCTTTTATAGGGTAATGCTTATAGAGCATAAAGTAAATGCATATTGTAAAAGTTTTATAACTCAATAACGTAACCGAAACATAGCAACAAAAACCTGTTTTATTTTTTCCAAATACAGATATTTGCATGTTTTGCAAATATTGCTTCAAAGCAACATTTTTCTATACAGCGCCTTCTGTCCTAATAGCACGTAAACATAGGTATGTATCCACAGTGCAATGTTGGCTCATCAAGGGTCCACCTTGCATACACTTGTTACTGAAAATGAGCTAAAACAGAACCGTATTTAATCAAGGCAATTTTTGTAGGTGGATAGTTTTACTCCAAAGACAAAACTTAAAGTAGTGCACATGTTTGTAAAAGGTAACAGTAATGTTTGCAAATAAGTTTCCAGTGCTCCAACTTGGGGTTAGTTCATCTTGACCCAAGACTGGGGCTAGAGCCCCTCAACATGGCTTTAAATTTTGGAAGCACACAAGTCAGAACTTGGAAAGTCCTCCCTGCTTCCCTAAAAACAAAAGTCACAATGAGTGACATGGGAAATGTTACTTTATAAAACAAAACAATGAACACATAATGACCACTTGGCAAAATTAAGGTGTTTTTGTTTCAGTTTTCATCTTTCAAAAAAGGTAGTTACACAGCTTCCTCAGGTGTGATGTTCAAATGTATGTTCACAAAATAAAATTCCGTAATCTAATATACAACAGTCATACCTCATTAGCTGTTGTGCTACAGAAAATCATCCTATTTCTCTCAGACAAGTGTCACATAGTTCTTATAATGTAACATCTTATTATCCAAAACATAGATGCCACTCACTTTTTGAGAGTACCTTCCCACACCAGAAATACCAATGTCAGCAATGAGAAGCTTCCTGGAGAGAAACTATGAGCTTTACTCCAGATGTTACTGCCACATGTTCCCTTTGATGCTACAGCAGGTCAATTTATACTTGTCCTATAATTGTATACCTAAAAGGTGAACAATTGACTAGACATAATATTCCCTGAAACAGATCTTACTACAGAGACCTTTGTGACAGTAGGTCCTTACAAACTAACCATTCCAAGTTCCCTGGACATACTGTCATTGCTGTGAGATACTGGCTACTTCACGTTTACATAGTAAATAATTGCAGCATATAACATTACAGATTCATAAACCCATAATTAACTTGTGAATGCTAATGGACAACCGTGCTTTGATTTTTGCCTTTAGTGATAACAAAACTAAATAGTGTAATGAGTCACTCCTCAAAGCATGGAGCATATTCTTTTGCTTGGCTTACTGGTAAGGAGAAACACAAAATACAGCAATTACTCATGAAACTATAACCTGCAAAAGTAACACAAATATTGTCTCAAATGGTACAACTATATTGTACCTGGACCTTAAGCAGCATGATCACCTTGATCTCACAAAAAGAATACAAACAGAAAATGTAAAGTATTAGAGTATATTAACAAAGTAATTCTAAAAATGTCGAGTACAGAACTTGCCCCCCAGGGAGAAAAGCGGCACATGTACAATATGAAGTTTGTTTACAATATAAAATAAGGTCGTTCCCCAAACCACACTCTAACAAATATTTAGAGTGAAAGAGTTAAAAATTTTGGGAAACATTTTTTGACATTAAATAGAACTGGGAAGCTGTCAATATTAAGAAATGGATAAAAAATTATGTTGTTAGGTTCCAGACCCTCCTGCATAAGTTTGAAATTCATCCTAGGTTCTAATTACAATGAGATACTAGCTTCTTCACAGGCTACGTGGGCTCTGCTGTGAAAGACAATCCAGCCAACTCTGGGGTGAAGCATACAAAACTGCCCCTGGTACCATAAAATCATGCAAGAGATGTGAGAAAGTGAAGAGTCCCAGTGAGAAGGTCGGGAGCCAAGGCCTCTGCTCCTGCCTGCCACAGAATGATGTAGTCCCAACAATCCCATGAAGCTTGGAAAATGAAAATGATGCGTACTGACTAAACACCATGCCAGGCAGAAAATGGAAAGATCAGCATGTGCCCCAACCTACAGAAAAGTCAAGTAAGCTGCAAACTGGATTTACAACTGTTTCCAAATAAACTTTTTTGGCTCTCATTCCATTTCTCATCAGTGGCACGATTTCAAGTTAAGTTTGTGCAAAAAAAAAAGACTCGCTCTTCATTCAATTAATGTGCACAGAAAAAGGGAACCCCAAGAGTCTTATTTGCTACTTTCTTTGAAGGCTCCAACATTAGTGCCCTGCTATCCAGCAGCCAAAATGGCATCTTTGTCCAATGTCCATCGCACCCCTGCCCAGATCCCTGAAGTCCATCGGTGTCACGTGCATTCAGCATGCTAGGTTTATTTATTTAAATATATGAAGCTTCTCCTGTAAGTGTCCCAGGATTGTGCCTCCATGAGTTCTGGGTGCCCAATTTCATGTTGAGCAACAGAGAGCAATCTGCTGCACCTTGCCCAGGTCCGTCAGTAGCTGCTTGATGCAATGCTTGAGCTGTGGTAGCCTGGCCAATGGCTCTGGGGGCTCCAATTCCCCGGTATAGTCCAGCCAGCTCTCTAACACTATTGGGAGAAAGAGAGTAACAGGACTCAGTAAGAAACCAACACTTGATTTGCAAGAATATAAACAAGAGTTTCAACACCTTATCCCACCTAACCACTCAGAGGGAAGACAGCAGAGAGGAAGACCATGTCAGTAAGCACTGACTCAGTACCTGTTCTACAAGGTACTACTCCTGCGATGAGATTTAAGTTCAATAAACCTTCCTGCAATAATAAAAATGGTCTATATTTTATTGTACTTTGCAAGTACTGCATTTTTATATACTGAATATTTGTAAATGTACACCAAGCAAGTATGTTGGTAACATTTTTTCCAACAGCATGTGTTCACTTTTTGGTAACTCTCAGTATTTCAACACTTTAATAATACAATTCATAATACAATAGTACACTGAACACATTATATGCACTGGGAAATTAAAAAAATCTTCAACATTTCTTTTCTGATTGGGGCCCTTTTTAAAGAGGAAAACAAATATTTGGGAAATAAGTAAACAAGAAGGAATTTGGTTCTCAATAACTAAAACTAGGAAGTTCCTGGGAGCTAAAGGTACTGAACTTCATCTCAAATGTAGTTTTTCAGACACACTAACATCTGAGAGAAACATCCAGGGGCCACACAAGTGACTGAGATGAATCCTTAACTGTTTTGGCTGAGAAGAAAAGGCTTCACTTTAGGTTTTACCAAAGGCTGAAATAAAATTTTTTTCATTGTAATCTTTCAATATCTGGAGAAAAAAAATTTTTAAGTAAAAAAAAATGTAGTCAAATTTCAATTTTCTACAGAATTTTGTCAGTCAAGATTTTGCTAAGATTATGCACTTAATGCAGAAAGACTCCACTAGGTCCTTTGCTACAAAATCTTTATTGCTAACAGTTTTGGGCAAGTGAAGCAAGACCCCTAATATTTTTAGTCCATATAAGTGACCAATAAATAGAAAAAGTAAGGCTTCCTCATCTTGAAGGGAGAATGGAAGTAGGATAAGGTTGAAAAAGTGGAGGCAAAAATAGAGCCATTCCTGGAAAGTAAAGTAGGACACCAAAGAGGAATACCTACCATCCAGCTCCTTCTCAATGGAATCCATCCTATGCGTGACTTCATCCTGAAGAGACTCCACGTGGGTCAACAGGTTAAACTGCCACTGGTGTTGGGAGCTGAGCAGTCCCTCTCCACCTCTGTCCAGCAGCTTCCGAGCAGGAGCTTCCTCTGGTGGGATCTTCTTGGACACATATTCCCTTACCTAGGGATACAATGACATTCAAGATACTGTGTGGAAGACTGTGCATATGGCTCTTACTCAGTGTTTGCAAGCTGCAACCATCAGGAAAGTCAGGTGCTATTTTAATACTTGAGAGTTCTAGTTTCTTACCTTTCCCCCTTCCTTCTTATCCCTGCTACTGTACCAATCTCACAGCACAGACTTCTGGCTAATACTCCCAAAGCTTCTTTCCACCAACAGAAAAATACCCCAGGTCTAAAGTAAGCCTCACAGAGGTCCTGAAATAAAACTAATAGGAGTAGCAAAACAGGTACATGAGTGTCACACAAAAGTCGTCCCTGGAGAGCTGTCTCTGAATTAACCAATTCACCTCTCTGAGCCTGTTTCCTGACTGAAGAGATGGAGCTGCTAAAACCTATTTTGAAGGTTCATTAAGATTAACAGAGTAAGAGAAAAGCATAGGGCCTGGCTTACACTCAGCTGATCATCAATGGAAGAGATTTTTAACATATTGCCACAAATGACGGCTACAGCGGGGGGGGGGGAGTGTGTTTCTAAGAACGGTCATCAAATTAAAAGTGTGTGGCAACGTGTTAATTGTGCTTTCCTTGCTTATGCCCAGTGTTCTCTCATTTTTGGTTCTCTGCCAAGTGCCTTAAGAAATCTCAGGTCAACTCACAAGCTCCCTAAGGGCCAAAAATGTCAGGATGTTGTGATTCCAACCTTTCTTTCATTTCTTGATATAACAGATTCTAGCCAATATTTGGGTGGGCTTCTATGTGTAAATGTTCTGATAGCTTTATCATAATGCAACAGCTGCCTAGAGGGCATTGTCACCAGCCCCATATACAAATGAAGAAATTGGTCTGCAGAAGATGTAGAGTATCCTTCATGGATCACACAGTATGTGGCTAAGCCCAGACCTGCAAGTAAGTCTATCTCAGGAAACTATGTCTTAACCACTCTTATCCAGCATGTTCAGACACTGGCAAGGACACAAGGATGAATAAGGTAAAATGTTTATTATGCTTGGAGGGCTTAGAATTTAGGGTGTGACTTCTGGGCAATATGCAGCTGGTGACGTCAACTCTTGAAATAAAGTCTAAAAATAAGGCTGTGAGAAGACAAGGCTGAGGTGGCTCTTAATCGCACCTGGCCTACTGATATTGAGGACAGCAGGGCAGGATGAGGCTCATGGACAGCAAGGAGCAAGACATGCAGGGATTCAAATGATGTCTTGAGTACTGGGATAGCTCTTAGGAAAACTGATGAAAACAGCAAATATTTGGACAAAATGAAACCTTCTAATAACAGGACTATGAAGTTAAAAACAAAACTAAAGTTATCATAAAATATCATTGACAAAGTTATGCCTATCAAAATAGCTTCTATTTTCTTTGCCTTGGCTAAAAAGTAGGACCTATCTGCAACTATAAAAACTTCATTTTCCAGGTCAGTTCGATTTTTCAAGTTCTAATCAACCCTTTTCCCCTTGCAGCTTTTTACCTTTCCATCTTAACCCCACCCATGGATGATCCCATTTCATAGGTAATTCCTGAAATTAATGATCTTGTGCTCAAATGACTCTCCTAACTTTGTACCTGTTAATTTTAATAATTTGTAAAATGTGTAAGAAAATGTAAATATTTTTATAATAATAAATATAATTTTAAATAAAAATGTCACATCTTCTAGAGAACATTTAACTCCAGGAACCTAAAATCAATCTACATGGAATTAGAACAACTGCAAGCAAAACCCCTGAAACATAAATGTTAAGTAAGATACATACCTTTGGGGAGGTGGGTTTGGGGTCACTATCTCCCCTGCTCCTATCTTGGTCGAGAGGCCAGCCTAGGCGTGGGGAAAGGGAACTGTCACCATTCTCATGGAGGGGGTTGACGGCATCATCAAGTGCAGAGCCCCGAGTCTCCACCACGAGCTTCTGCTCTACAGCAGGGTAATAGGCACGGGGCTTCTGGTAACAATGCTCGCTGGTGATATAGGACTCTTCCACAGACCGGGGAAGGGGCATGGGCAGGGGCAGCGGCTTCTCCACTGCCCCGTTCAAAGTTCTATAGCTTGAGGCTTCCTCCTTGCTCTTGGCTTCAGCAACATGAATGTGTTTGGAATGAGATCGTCCTTCCCCTGATCGCTGTTTCCAAGGCTGACACCACAGCTGCAGGTCTGGATGCTCCCTGCTTCTGTTGGAAAAAAAAGAGAAAGGACTTTGGAGTAACTGGGACCATTGGAAGGGATTTTAATTGCCAAGTTTTCTTCTAAGAGGGCAATAGCTCCCTCCTGGGCCTTGTAAACACAAGCCATTATTTGATAAACAAAAAGAACTGTAAACCCTCCTTTTCACAAGACACCACTTTAGGCAAGTTCCCGTTACACATACACAGTTAGTGAGATTGAACTTGGCAATCAGAAGACCTGATCTGTGTTTTACCTCAGTCTCTGCTTAGCTGTGCAGGTGGGATAAAGCAATCTGTCTCATTTCAATATGGAGTGCATCATAACATCAAGAAAACAAAATCCTCACAATTGGACCAACTGGCAATAACATGATAAAAGGAGAAAAGACTGAAGCTGTCAATGACTTTCTTCTTTTTTTTTAAATCCAAGGTATATTGCATTGGGAAAATCTGCTGTGAAGGACCTCTCCAAGGGTTAAAAAGCAAGAATATCAGTTTAAAGACTAAGATGTGCCTGGTCTAACCCACAGTACTTTAAATTGCTTCGTATGCATCTTAATGTTAAAAATAAATAAGGAAGAGCAAAGAATAACTGATGCCTTGGTATTATGTTTGTGAAGAGTATAGAATACACTGTTGTTGTTGACTGCCATCGAATCGAGCATGACTCATAGTGACCCTATGAACAAAAGACCTGAAGCCTATCTATAACTATGTTTTCTCAAAGTCATAGAGTTTCCAGAGGCATGTTGTTTAGGAAGTGGATGCCACTCCTTCTTCCAAAATACATTGTACATTATGAACTGCCAAAAGAACCAACACATTTGTCTTTGAGGAAGTGGAAACAAGGTGTTCCTTAAAGTCAAGGATGGAGAAATCTTTAACGTGCCTTCTGGCATGTTATCAGGAGCATAAAAGATACCATACTGGAAAAGGCAGTGAATCAGAGAAAAATGACGACCCTCAAAAAGATGGACTGACAGAGTAAGTGTAACAAGGGGTTCAAGCAGGTTGGAGATCATGAGAATGATGTAGGAGAGGGCAAGCCTCAGATCTGTTGTTCATAGGGTCACTATGAGTCGAATTTGTCCGGATGACAGCACCTAACAATACAATTACTAAAACATAAAGTAAGAAGGTTTGGTGAACAGGGAGCTGTGGCTCAAATCCACCAGTTAGTCAAAGAGAGATAATTAAGCAGTTTCCTCCTGTGCATTTACAGTCACTGACAACCTATACAAGACAAGCTGTAAGTCAGTCCTGACTCAACAGCATTAAGCTGAAGTACTAAAAGCATCACAGGTTTTTATCAGAGCTTACCACACACAAGAATTCACTCTCAATGTTACTCCCCAAACTTGGAATCAGTAAAAGTCAAGATACACCTCCAAAGGGCCTACAGCTTCTCTGTATGAGCAAACCACCAACAAGAGACAGAGAGTTTACTGGCAGGCAGCCGCTATGCTAGGAGCCAACAACATCCCTTCTAGCCAGTATCTTTATCCAGTAAGTTTATCATATAACTGAGAATTTTTAGTAAAGGTCTCCAGTTCAGTTATTTCTCACTCATTTTGTAGCTTGTTATGTCCCCAGTGTCTCTATCCACCTCATGCCAATTCAGACTCCTTTCAAAAGCAGTAGGTGCCATATACTCACTGCAAGATGCTCATCTTAAGCTGCAGGCCATGCAGAACCTCAATCACCCTCTGCACATCGCCAAGAAGCTGGTGGGTGGCCACAATCTTCTTGGCATTCTGGTGGGAGTAGTTCTCTTCTAGAAATGCCAGGCCATGCATATGTCCCCTACTCAACCACTCCTTGTCATACCAATATTTGAAGCCAGGTCTCTGACCTAAATCAGTGACAGAGAGAGGGTTAAAACATGGTCTGAAAGAAATGCAGGCTTTTTCATCACCACACAAACTACCACAAGGATGAATTGGTCTGTTCACATACTAATTGACTTGACATGTAAGATACGCTGGTTTCTGTTTTAAGTGTAAGATATAAGGTAGTGAATAAAGTACTGAATTTCCACATCTCCTAGAACTGGTCAGAGGTGACAAGGAAATCAGGAAAGCTTTTTAGATTGAAGCCACACCATTCTCTACCTTTCTTATAATCTACTGCTCAAAGAAGAAAATCCAAAGGTCTAACTCTGGCCTAATGAGGCCTGAAGGACCCAACCGCTACCCGGCCCTCCTCTTCTCAGCCTCATAGTGACCTCCCTTTAGTTATTGGAATGCTCGCTCTTTGTGGTCTTAGGATCTTTGCTTTAACAACCTCTTTGTCTGGAATGCTATTCCCCAAGGTCTAACTATCTCCTCAGAGCAGTCTCATTACCTCCCAAATAGGAGTCTCTTCTGTGCTTCCTCCTTATTCCCTGGTCCTCCCTCTACCCTCAGCTACAACATTAATCACCACCTAATATAGCATTGTTTATCTGATTTATTTTCAGAACTGTTTTTGCCTGTACCCCCTCAAGAGCCAACAGAGTGGGAAATGTCAATAGCTGCAAACACAATGCCTGACATAAAAAACTATCTTGAAGGGATATTTCTTACATGAGAAGTAAAAAGCCCTAGGACTACCCTATACACACTTAACATCCCCCACCACAACTATGCCATCTAACAAAATAGACAGTTCCCATCTCACCTTTGGACCTGTTTCCTGTCTGTTACAATGACAGATCAAGTACATGGCTTTTTAATCTTGTTTATTACAGGTCTCTTTAGAAGGACTGGAAATAGACCATATGTGAATCAAGAGCATTTCCTGAACCCAAAAGCTCAGAAAACAGCTATCAACCAAACTGTTATAAACCTTCCAACAGCTATAAAAACCCTTAAATAAGCCAGGTAATTCCCATCAAGCTAGATTCTTTCTGGCTTAATTAAAATATGTAGTAAGGTATACCTAAAAAGATCCTTAAATAAATTTTAAAGAACAATACATTAAATTCAACTTTTGGTCCAACACTACAAAGTCAAACACAAAGTAAAAGGCAGATCCTGCGATGACACTGAGTGCCCTCCAGTCAGTCTATTCACTCTTTGTGCACATTCTGAACTATTATAACTTCAGTTACCAACACTTGAAGATAGGATATGTATTTTTATTAAAGTGGAAGTAGAGGACAAGAGACAATAAAGCAGGAAAAAAGATGTTAACAGAAGGCTTAGAGAACCCTCAGGGTTACATGGAGGAGTCTCACATGCAGCTGCTATAGGCAATGGGTGAGCAGCAGCATATGAGCAGCACAACTTGTTTTTCAAACAAAGGGTCAGACATCCACGTTCTCATCTACCATAGTGAGATAAGAACCCACAGTTTTACTGCCATACCATTCACCACCACCACCTCCACCTCCACCACTATCCTTGGCTTTTGGAAAGTGCCACAGTCTCCTTCACAGGAATTTTCACTACTCTGTCCCCTCTAGGTAACATGCTCAATGCAACAATACTTTTCTTTTTTCCTTCATGTACAAGATACCAGTACACACAACAAACATAAGTTTTCAACCCTCCAACAGACCCAAAGAGCCACATGCTCATCCTTCATGAGCTCTCAAGGAACAAGAAAATTCTATCTTAAAGCCAGGCCTTTTGTTTGAATGTGAATTTAAATTCAAGATAGCTAGTCACTATATAGGCTAGAGAAGAGTCCAACTGACACTGAAGAAATTAATCTCAAGATTACTGACACTTAAGAGATTTCGTGGCCAGCTCTGTTAAGGAAAAAACCACATAAAGCTAATATCCCTGACTCTGGAAAAACTTTACCTGGAGGGTCTTGGCAAACATAACAGGTGTATTTCTCAGGCACATTTTCTTCGAGCAGTCCCATACAGACACCATGCTGCCAGCACTGGCACTCTTCACACTGGTAAAATTAAAGAAGGGACAAAAATTAAAACTCAGAGAGTATCCTCCACCCAAAAGTAAGCCACCTTCACAGGAATGGGGAGAAGCAGGAGAGGGGAGGGAGGTGCATTCCCTAAAGCCTCAAACAGGAAATGAGCTACAGTCAGCCATCTAGAACCTCAAATGCCCAATATGGCAGTCATTAGCCACAAGTGACTGTTTTAACAAATGAACCAGAAAAGTTCCTCAGCTCTATTTTAAGTGCTCTAACAGTCACACAGGCCAGTAGTTACCATGTGAGACAGAGCATACAAAAAATACTTAATTTGCTAAAATAGTGTCAATTCACAATCATGTCTAGAGACTATTTCACTTTCTGATCACTTTATTAAGGCAAAGAAGTAAGTTGTTCACATCCTTAGAGAAAGGCGAACTTGAAACTGCCACACCTGAGTTTAAATTCTGGGTTGGACATTCATTAGCTTTGTTACTTTAAACAAGTCACTTCTCCATGGGCTTCAGTTTCCTCATGTGTGAAAAGGATACTCCTACTCCCCACTCACAAGACTATTTGTGAAAATCAAAGTAATCAACTTGATGGGTCAGAATCAACTTAATAGCAATAGGTTGTTCGGGGTTGTTTTTTTTTTGTTAGTTTCTTGAATATAAAATCATAAATTTGGGGTTTAGGTCAAAACAAGAGTGACTATTTTGCATCTTCCATGAAAGCAGGCTTGTAGTTAAAAGAATCAAGTTGACTTTGGAGGAAAGAAGTAGACATCAAGCTGCTTCCCCTCAAGATGAAGTTCTAGACTTCTGAACCTGGCCTGATCTTGTGCCCCTAGGTTCCAAGATTCAAATCTATTTTCTCAACGGTATTTCCATTAGCTTTCTAAAAAAGCCTAAAAAAGTATACTAAGACTTGACTTAGTGAACCAAACAGCAACCATCTCCCCAGAATGAAAGAAAAAGGGCCAGAGAGAAGCTAGTCCTGGTCAGGGACAATGTCCCCAAGCAGGAGGACGAAGCCTACAGACACAGCCCAGATAGTAATGTGCCAGATAACACAAATAAATGTTATAAAATTGGCTTTTACTTCCTTTCTGTTGTTAGGTGCTGGCAAGTTTATTCTGACTCACAGTGAGTTTAACAGATTGAAACCTCCTCACCTAACTAAGCCTGCACCATTCTCGCAATCTGTACCGTGCTCAAGCTCACTGCTGTAGTTACTGTGTCATCCACTTCCTTGAAGATCTTCCACTTCTTTGCCAACCCTCTACTTTCCCAAGCATGATGTTCTTCTCCAGGGGTTAGCCCCTTTTGATAACATACCCAAAACATGTGTCGTCTCCCTCTCCTTGCCCTAAGAAGTACCTTGGTTGTACTTCCTTCCAAGACAGACTTGTATTAGTCCATTTCATTAGGTCATGCAAAATAAAATTCATTTTTTAAAAAAAGGTAATGACCTCTAGGAACCAGTGCTATTCCAGAGATTCTGGTCCCTACTGTTATATACCCCATGGTGTGGCTACTGGTAAGTCCTTCTGGGATGGATTCCAGCTACCTTTAGCTGATTATAAGAGTTAGACACAATGATCCCTTAAGTCTTCTCATATTCTATTTAAGGACTATTACACAAGCCTGGAATTCAGGGAAAGCCAAACCAGAAAGGAAACCTCAGTCTACTGTCAACAATACAGCTTATCTGAAATTAATGACTGGACATTTGGTCTCAAACTAAATGCTATTTTCACACAAATAAAATGAATGTTATTTGTAAAAAGATGCAGCAGACTTCCAAATTCCTACCAAGGACCAGTTTATGCTTCTTTCTGGGAAGTTCTGCCTACCTGAATCATGAAGTCATTTTCCTCCTGGACTTCACAGATGCAGCGAACCACCTCAAAATCATAATGGTCATCCCCATCAAGTTCCTCATCTGCGTTTGTAGTCACATCAACATCTTGGCCATACTCTTCATCACTCCAAAGAAAACTCTCAGAAGAGGACTCACTCAGATTATCCTCCTCTGGGAAGAAAGAGAAAATAATAATTACAACCATAGGTTTAAATTAGTTATAAAAGAAAAGCATCCTATGCTTTCAGAGTAGAAGATAACCTACAAATTCATTTCTTGAGAGCTGAGAAATAGGGACTCCTGGAGTCTTATTTCTTAAGCTTGTCACCCAGTAACAGCCCAAATGATACAGGTTCCCTGACAATGGCCTGAACTTACTCTGAGTGAAGCCCAAGCTACTCCAGGTCACAGGGTTGACTGGCAGAGGAGCTACACTCCACAGAGGTCACCCTTAAGGGCTCAAATGAGTTCCAAAACCTCACCCCACACAACTACAGTCAGGACCAGACTTATCAACCTGCATCCAAGGCCATCTCTAAAATTCTGTAAAAAGTGGGCGAGGAGGAGGGGACAGATTCCAGGGATAATGAGAAAGAGCAGAAGGACTGTGTTTGGTTAGACATCATCACAGCTAACCTTTATTGAGCAAGTATCAGACTCCTTTGTACACTGATCAACTTCTATTAAATTCCCAGTCATCCTGTAAGTTGCTGGAGTAAAGGAGTTTCAAAGTTGATTCAGAAATATCTCTGACCAATCAGGTTAGGTGCAAAGAAATGGAAGAGTGAGAAGGGTAAGTGTACAAGTAGAGAAGTGGGAGAGGGGATAATGGATTGGGTTATTTGCTGGCTAAGAAATACCCAACATTCTACTAAGACTAAAGGGAAGTACAGGTAAAATAGAGCTAACAGTTTTTGTTTTATGTACTTCTTATTTAAAAAATAGATCACAGAGAATCAACATAAACCCAGTCTTCTCAAACTATCTCTCTCTCATTGCTCAGACTATAGTTCCATGCAAACCATCAGACCAGCCTGGAGCCTCCTTACCAGCTCCTTTCACTTTTCCTTTGTGGTTTCCAGCTTCTGAGCCATGGAGCTGGGGGCTCATGTGGACTGTAGGTTTATGTGAGGTCCCACACCTGGTAACAGCAAATGCTTTGGGTGGGGAAGGGTCCTGGGAAGTGTCACTGACCTCCTCACTGCAGGGACATTCTGGAAGAACAAAATCAGGAGGAGCTAAGCAACCCCAGGTATTACTAGGACATCCAGAATCAATCCCATCCAAGAACCACCCTTGCTATTAAAACAGCTCAACAGAATTTCAAGCACAAAGGGCTTTGGAAACCAGATTCAAAATTTAGAATTTTTACCTAACTTCACAGACTTCAAAAAAATTCAAATGCTTGCTCCTCACTCTCACCTGCCTCTTTTTTTTTTATAAGACCTCTTTTTAATTTCTATAATAAAGTATCTTGAGACTAAAACAGTGGTTTCCCTTTGCCCTTCCCAAGATTAGGACACTGATTTTCTTCCTCCGCACCCCCCCCCCCGATTTTCTTAAAAATCGATCTTTCTGTTGGGTGGCCAGATACTCAAATATAGAAATACATACACACAAGTGAATCTTTTCTTGATAGAGTTCAGATATGCAGGTTTAAGAGTTACATGTGCAGAAATGAATTTATTTTTCCTCTCCCTTGTAGATGCTTACATATGAACTAACCTAGAACGGGTATACTTTCCAATGTAGTGAGAAAGGTTTTATAAATGCCAACAGAGCCATGAAGCACCCAAAGTGCAAGTGGTCTTTCCCTGCCAAGGCCCACTGACTCCCAGGAGGAGTCCACAAGTGAGTGGCTCTCTTCCCCTCAGCACAAGCCCTGTGGTCAGAACTGGGAGACAGCAACATTTTCTGACTTTTGCTAGAGAAGCCCAATCAAACACCTTCTCAGAGAGAAAATTACCTGGTTTGGCTTTCTTTTTCTTTTTCTTTTTTTTCTTTGGCTTCACTCTTACAAACTCTTTAAACTTCTTCTCCTTATTCTTTTCCTTGTCTTTTGCAGCTAGAATTAAGCACAAATTTAAGTGTTGGCATTATCATTTTTATCTTCAATGCTAGGGTGTATATTGTGTAATTAAGTACATCCAATATGAAGCTGCAGAGCAGACAAGGAAGCAAGAGTTCTTGGTCTGACACTGCCTGGGGAGGTGTTGGTCTTTCTCTCTCATGGCTCCAGCCTTCAGATCAGTGGTCTAAAAATTAGGGCCTGACCTCTATTAGCAGAAAGGAGGGTTCTGTTTTGTTTTTTAATTAATTTTAATAAACATTTACAGAGATTTTGGATTTCCAGTCATTCATTGCCACACTTTTCTCCCTGCCCAGCAGAAAGGAGTTTTAATGAAATGCAACTTTACTCATTTGTTACAGATTGTCTAGTGATGCTTTCAAACACCAACAACAGAGCTGGGCAGTTTCAACAATTGTCCTCAAAGTCAGAAATAGTACCCAAACTAATTTCAACTAAGAACTTTTGTGTACAAAGGAATCATAAGCTTTTTTTTTTTAATCCTTAAAGGATCAATGTATACCATTCTCATTTTACACACAAGGAAACTAAAACTTATGAGGCAAAGTCACCTTCTTGATATTATTATTGTTGTATGCCACAGAGTCAGAATCGACTCAATACTGACCCTCCAACAGGTTTTCAGAGTCTGTAAAATCACATGGGAGGGGACTGTCCATCTTCCTCTCATGAAGCAGCTGGTGGATTTGAACCATTTGCCTTTGGGTCGACAGTGCAACTCCTTACCACAGCTCCCTACTTAGTATTATGCTGTTGTTATTCTGTACCATCGAGTCAGAACTGACTCACAGCTGACACTCCAGCAGGTTTTCAGAGTCTGTAAATCACACAGGAGATTACTGTTCATCTTTCTCCCATGAAGCAACTGGTGGATTCGAACCATGTTCCTTAGAATTGGCAGCACAACTCTGTACCACTAAGCCACCAGAGCTTGCTTGATATTATAGATATTTAAATGCAGATTTGTCTGGCGCTGTCACCCATGCTGCTCACATCACTCTCCCAAATGACTATCTAGGAACCACTGGAGAGGTAGATTACACTGCAGCTATCAGCTCACAGGCTACAGAATGAAAATCACCTACAATGTTAAGGACCTCAAAACTGTCTTCCCACTAAAAATACTCAGCAACTAGGAAAAAAGAGGAAATTTAGATAGAGCCTTACTCCAATTTAAAAAAACATTAATTTTAAAATAAAGACACCAAGAGCCCAAGTAAATGACATGGCCAAAGTCACAAAGTTAATTCGCAAAGGTCACCTGCCTCATGAACTCTATAGAAGCTGTGAACAATTTTTACTCTCCACAGATCCATAAAGCAGAGCCTTATTCCAACATGAGAACAATCTCAATTTGTCACCTATAAAGCAGGAATAACAGAAACTAACTGACAGGATTAGTTCTGAGGATTAAATAAGATGATACTTAGAACAGTGCCTGATATGTGACATGGGTACTCAAATGTTAGCCGATATTATCTTGCTGGAAATAATTCAAGCTGTAATATCTTTCCCTGAAAACTGGTGCTGGTCTGCTGTCAGCCTTTTCTTCAGACAGCTTAAGAAACTGTCTCTCATGACTCACAGAGCACAAGATTGGTTACAGTGCTTCCCTCCCAGTGCCTACCTATACAGAGCTGGAAACGAAGGCACTTTGTCAGGGGTTTGGCTCAGAGAGTAATGCTTTCCTTTAGGCTGATCTCTGGGCCTCTCCCCAGGCTGCCAGTGCTCATGAAGAGAAAAACCAAAGAGAGTCCTTCCAGCTCCCTTTCCTTAAAGCATGTTCTCTTATTTTTCAATCAAATCAACACTAATTTAAAAGAGCAGATCATCACTGGCCAGACTGCCACTTACAGGAAGGAAAATGAAAGTTGACATCACCATCACCTGCAGAAAAATTCTTGTACAGCATAGAGAATGGCCATAAAATTGGAACAAGTGATGACTCAGAGCATGCTGTAACCCACCCAAGAGGATGGCAATTTAAGAGCAGAACAAGAGTGGGTATACTCTGTCCTGAGGAAGCTGGATTTGGGGACTATTACCATTGCTTCCCTATCTCCATCTTTCTATCCTCATTTTCGTCAGTCCACTACCAAAGACACCTCCACTCAGACATTAGCCCAAGTGGGCTCTCTGATAATTCCCTTCCTCAATCTCTGCATTTTCATCCTTAGTTTATTTGGCAGACTTTCTATGCACCTCTCTATTTCCTTACTTTGTCCACAAGGAAAAACTTTATTTTCCAGCATTCCTTAAGTGAGATGTAGTCATACATACAAATGTTCTGGCCTATGGAGTATGATAAAAAGTGATTGGGGAAAGGGGCAGTGTTGGAGAGTCTGTCTGTGTGTATTATATACATGTTGGGCCAGACACAGCCACGTTGTGAATCCTGATCTAGACAGAAGAGATGCTATAGTGAGACCCACTTAAGACTTTGCCCTTGTGGAGCAGTGAGAAGTCAGGTCTCAGAAATGTCACAGAACAGAGCCATCATGTGTAGTTTAACTTGAGAGAAAAATTAACTGGACTTACTCAAGCCAGCTACTTTGGTTCTCTCTATACCCTTTAAGGGGAAACACTGCATATTTTTGTGAGAAAGATTATCTAATACTAAAAGTGGTACTCATTCTGGTGCTCCAAAGCAACATTAATGGATGTGCCAGTAGACAATAAAAACAAGCTGGATTTCTTTTGGTTCTAGTATATTCTTTCTGGACCAAACTTTTCTTCAGAACTAAGTTACCTATGCAGAAACAAATCCAAATAATACCAAGAGGCCTGGGCTCTCAATCTGGAATATAACTTCGTAAGGAATTTTGGTACCAGAGAAGCCTCAGCTGAAAAAGCTTGTAGATATTCACCTTCCATGAATTCACTTTAATGGATAAAGGCTTGGCTGAGTAAACAAGAAGCAGTCAGAAGAGGTACCTCAGGGGCAGGTGATCAGTTTGTTTTCACTTCATGCTCACTTTTCTCTTCTTCATTGTCCCCATTTTAAACTAAGAGCACAAAAGCCCCTAGAGGTTAAGTGGCTTACTTGGGCAGCTTGAGGTAAAGACAAGAAGAAAAAATGTCAGGTATTCCTGCTTCCTCCAGAAGGCAACCTACCGTCACATGATCTGACTCACCAGTCATTTTCAATCTTTTAGGACTCATTTAGGCTAGACTAACCTAAAAGTCTGTTTTCTGTGATTTACAGAAATAAAGCACTGGGACTTGAGCAGCAGAGCCCATTACAACACTACAGAAAGGCAAAACACTTACTTGGGGAACTGGCCGAGACCCGCTTCCTGGCCAGGCTCTCCTGGCTGACCTTGTCTGAAGCTGAAGAACCCCTTGTTTGGACATGCCTCTTCCCTGGGCTTTCTTCTGGCTCTGGTAACTTCTCCACTCCATGGAAATACTTCATGTGATAGTGCAATAGTTTGGCTTTGCGGAAAAATTTTAAACAGTCTACAACCTTGCATCTAAACTTATGGTCCAGGTCGATAGTTGGTGCTTTAGATGTTATGAAATCATCTGTTTTCTTAAAAGTACTTGCTGCTGAAAAAGAAAAACCAAATATCCTTTATGTGTTTTTAGTAACTATAAGTTATGCATATTAATGAATGGCAATAGAAAGTGAAAAAGTAGTATATGTAGCCAGAGGCATTAATCAAATGGCCATTACCTGCCCCAAACTACTGTTCTTTGTTGTTGTTCTTTTTTCAAAACTATGTTCTAAGGAGAGGAATACCATTTGAGAGAGAGAGATAAATCTGTGACTTGTCTTGCAAAACATGATTTTTAAGAGTCATTGAAGTTTTCAAGCTGTTACAGACTTTGTAAAGAAAATTCTTAAAAAAAAATAAATAAAAGAAATCAAGGAACCAGATCCTCTACTATCCCTTATTACTCATGAACTGGAGCTGAGTCTGTGAAGAAAGATGGGCAATCGCCTCCCAAGCAATTCACCGCTTCCGAAAATCCACTGAAGGTTCAGCTATGAGTCAGTTCCAACTTTAAGGCAAGGAGTTTACCAGGTAATTTATTTACTCTCCGCAACCCCTTGCCCAATTTCTTCACAGAAATTTGTTTGGAGAAAAAAACAGTAACTCCTTCACTGACTCATGACAATTAACTTGCATATAAAGAGCCTAGAAGACTGGTACATAGTTAAGTGCTTGTTATTATTTATACAGGAAACTCTGGTGGTTCAGTGGGTAAGGAGTTCCAATGTCAACCCAAATGCAGGTGGTTCAAATAATCAGGTGCTCCTAGTCAGAAACCTAAGATATCTCCTCTGGTGCAATTTATAGCCTCGAAAAACCTGCCGGAGCTGAATCAGTTCCAACTCATGACAACAACAACAACAACAACAACAACAACAAAATGATAATGATAATGCATAAAAGTTTAATGTTGTTGATCCGTCAAGTCAAATCAAGATTCACAGTGATCCTTTAAACAACACATCTGACCCCTGTTCTCTCCTGCAGTATCATCACCTCTAACATACTTGAGCCCACTGCTGTGTTCACTGTGTCAATCCATCTCACTGAATATCTTCCTCTTTTTCACTGACCCTCTCCCACCTTTCCAAACACAAGGTCTCCTTCCAAGGAAAAGCCCCTCCTAACAACAGGCCCAAGAGAGTTCTGGTGGCCTAATAGTAAGGAGCAATGTTGACAACCCAAAGGTTCAGAGTTTGAATACACCACTACTCCACTCCATGAGAGACAGACAGGTAACAAACTGCCTCTGAAAAGTCTGCTGGAGGGTCAGCTAAGAGTCAGCTCCGACTCTATGGTACATAACAATAACATGTTCAAAGTAGATGAGACAAAGTTTTGTCATCCCTGCCTCTAAGAAATACTCTGACTTAACTTTATCCAAGACATATTTGTTTAATTTTTGGGAGTCCATGGGATATTCAGTACTCTTCTTCAATAGCACAGCTCAAAGGCATCAATTCTTATTTACTGTGCAGCTCTCAGATGCACAGCAAGTGACTGAAAAGACCACGGCCTGAATCAGGCACATGTTAGTCTTTAAATTGACATCATTATTCCTCAGCACTTTAGAGAGATCCATGACAGCAAATTTTCCCAAGAGAGAAATATATCTTTTGATTTTTTGACATTAACAATTTGGTTATGAGATTGTCAGTCTTTTTTGTTATATTCCAAAGAAAGGTGACCCTACAGAATGCAGAAATCATCGAACAATATCATTAATATCACATGCAAGCAAGACTCTGCTGAAATTTATCCAAAACGACTGGAGCAAAACATCAACAGAGAACTACTAGATGTGCAGGCTGGGTTTAGAAGAGGCCATCGTATTAGGGATATTTTAACTAATGTTAGATGGATCTTGGCAGAAAGCAGAGAGTACAAGAGGAATGTCTATCTGTGTTTCATTGACTATGCAAAGGCTTTTGACTGCGTGGATCACAACAAACTGTGGCTGACTCTGAGAAGAATGGGAATCCCAGAACATTTGATTGTGCTTATGAGAAATCTATACTTGAACCAGGAGGCAGTCATGAGAACAGAGCAAGGAGACATTGCATGGATGTATTCTGTCTCCATGCTTTTTCAATCTGTAATGCAGAACAGAACATCTGGGAGGCTGTGCTGTATGAGGAGGAATGTGGCATCAGGATTGGAGGAAGATCCATCAACAACCTGCTAAAAATGAGGAGGACCTGAAGCACTTGCTGCAGAAGGTCAAGGACTGCAGCCTTCAATATGGAATGAAGCTCAACATCAAGAAAAGATAGATTCTCACCAGTGGGCCAATTAGCAGTGTCATAATGGATGGTGAAGACTGAGATTGTTAACAGTTTTAGTTGGCTTGGATCTACAATCAATACTCTTGGTACCAGCAGCCAGGAAATCAAAAGATGAATTACATTGGGAAAGTCAGCTGTCAGGGACCTCTCCAGAGTACTGAAGAGCAATGACTTCAGGCTAGAGACTAAGGTGTGCCTGATCCAGGCCATAGTCTTCGAAATCATGTGCTATGCTTCAGAGAGCTGGGCAATGACTAGGGATGATAGAGAACTGATGCCTTTGAGCTGTGGTGCTGAAGAAGAGTGTTGAATATACCATGGACTGCTAGGAGAACAAACAGGTTTGTCCTGGAGAGAGTGAAACCAGGCTGCTACTTGGAGGCAAGGATTCTGAGGCTTTGTCTGACATACTTTGGGCATGTTGCAAGGAGGGACCAGTCCTTGGAAAGGGATGTTACATTTGGGAGAGCAGAGGGACAGCGGAAGACCCTTGATGAGATGGACAGATTCAGTGACTGGAGTAATGGGAGTAGGTATGTCAGAGACAGTAAGACTGGCACAGGATAGAGCAGGGTTTAGGGCTATTGTACGGTCGCTGTGAGTCCCAAGCGATTTGACGGCACATAACAACAACAACTTTAGTCATACTATTTTTTCAAAGAAGAAAAAACATACACTGTGTTAAAAGAAACATGATGATAGAAAAAGCTCAGTGAAAAACTAGAAGAATCTGGATGCCAAAAGGACTTCCTGCCCCCCCCCCTTTTTTTTAGGAAAAAACCCAAACCAGTATCAAAGCATTGCGTGCTGTTGAGTCAGAACTGACTCACAGCTGATCCTCCAGCGCATTTTCAGAGGCTATAAATCACTCAGGAGGACATTGCCCATTTTTCTCCCTCAGGGCAGGTGGTGAACTCTAATGGCAACACAACTCCTTACCAGTAGGCCACCAAAGGTTCCCTAGAGACCATATAGGGTAAAGTAAGATTATCCCATAGGTTTCCAACGCTGAAAATGTTTACAGAAGCACACGACTACATCTTTTCCCCACAGAGTACCTAGTGTGTTAAGCCAAAGTCTTTTCATTTTCTTTAGCAGCCAAGCACTTAACCACAACACCACCAGGACTCCTTGTCCTGAGTCATCACCCATTTATACATTGCCATGGAGAAAGAACCAGCTCATAGCTGACCTTTCAAAAGTTACTGGACGATCCAAACTTCAGAAAGGAGACTGTTTGTCTTCTTTCCACACAGCCACTGGAGAATTCAAACCACTTCTTTTGGGTTAGCAGTGCCATTCCCTACAGACTGTCACCAGAGTTCCCTACTGAAGTGATAGGATGTATATAAACTGTACAATATTGTAATATCCTTACTCATAGCCTACACAAATCTCACACAAGAGTGTGTTTACCAACAGTTCATTTAGAACATGTCTTGATGGCACAAACTAAGTGATCCACTCATGGTATGTTATAGTTCTTGACAAAAGGAAGCAGCTGCTATGACACAAGAAGAGCCAACAACCCATAACTTAAATACTCAGGGAAGCCAATTCAACTCTGCCAGGGAAGGAGGGACAATCTCCTCCTGTACCAGTCAGATCTGATTTGCCGGTACACCCACACAAAAATAAAATAATAAATTTTAAAAAGCTATGGTAATCAAGTTACTGTTGAATAGAGAGTAAACTAAAACCAATTCTCATTTAAAAAAGCTGTGTGAAAATATCTATTTGCAAGTAGTTACCAGCATTGTTGTTGACTGCTATCGAGTCGAGCACGACTCATAAAGACCCTATGAACAAAAACGTGAAGCCTTTCTATGACTCCTGTCGTTTCTCCAAGTTCATAAACTTTCAAAAGGCATATGGTTTATGAAGTGGATGCCACCCCTGCTTCCAAACCTGTCTTAAACTGGGAGCTGCGTCAAACACTGTCCACCATGAGCAACTATTATGGCATTTGACAACCCAATGGCACAAGGTTCAGCATCACAGCAAACCCAGATTACCTCAGTATGGCAAAATGACAGAAGAATGCTGTACAACTTAGAAGAATGTTTTGCCAAAATATAACAACAGTCAGCCCGCAGGCCCAACAGACTTAAATCCAAGGGCCTTCCATGAGGTCATTCATTCCACAAACATTCCCACAGACCCTCACCAAAACAAGCACACCCATACTATTTTATAAATGCTCAATTTTTCCTTATGCATACAAATTGCGGTTTAAAGGAGTTAAGGCAAAGCAAAAAGAGCTCTCTCCTGGGTTCCCAGGCTCAAAAATTCCAAAATTCATTCTTTGCTTCTAAGTTTACTACTATTCTTTCTATATTATACCAAGTTTACCTTACCATATACAAAGAAAAAAGCCTGCAGATTTTTAATAACAGTAACCTTAATGAATGTTTTCCATTTCAGGGCAGGGAGTATATGTGTGTGTGGCAAACAGACTCTAAGATGTCTCCTAATAATCCAACCTACTAATATTAATACTCTATGTGACTCTCTCCCTTCAAAAGTAGGCAGAGCATGTAACCTGCCTCTAATCAACAGAATATGGCAAAAGTGGGAAGATGTGCATAAATTCCATATGTACTTTCTGTCTTACTAATACTATCCCTTGCTGGTATGATGAAGTAATTATATTGTGAACTACTTAGAGTAACATCTAGTCAGCAGATGGAGTAGAGAGGGGTGGGGATTGGGGAGTGAGACACAAACTGAAACCATCAGTATGACAACCTGCAAGGAACTGAATGCT